CACTGATATCAATCTTATTTTGATATCACAAATCACCTGTGAGATAGGACTGTGTAGTCATCTCCATTTTAAAAATTGTTGTGTTTTTTTTTTAATATATCTTTATTGATTTCAGAGAGAGGAAAGGAGAGGGAGAGAGAGATAGAAACATCAATGATGAGACAGTCATTGATCGAGCCCACAACCCGGGCATGTGCCCTGACCAGGAATCGAACCCCGATCGCCTGGATCCCAGGTCAACGCTCAACCGCTGAGCCACGCCCAGCCGGGCTAAAAATTCTTTAAATTTTAGAAGAGAATGAATAGCACTGAGTATGGATGACTTTTTAATAATAGTTGGAGTCACTTGTTAAAAGTGAGGGTGGGACACAGAAGGGAATTAGGGAGGTTGGAGACTGAGAGAGGTGGACGAGCAGGGAGGGCCAAGTAGGTTTCATAAGGTTACCCAAGCGCCAGGCCACAGAAGGCCCGCCTTTTCCATGCAGGAAGGCTACCAAGTGGAACGCATGCTACATGTGTGTCCCCGGAGCTCATCTTCTTTCTGCACCTCACCCTTAAAAACCCACTTACCCAGAATTTAAGGTAACAAAGACCAGTCAACCCACCAAACATTTCCTGGATGGGCAAGCTGGCGCAGTGCATGCAGTTCATGAGAAACCTCAGCTGGAGAGCATTCCATGAACACCCGTCACAGTTGACCAGCTCAGTCTTTGCAGACAGGTACTGTAACTCGGTATTAAGAAAGGAAGCAGGCCCTTTTCTCCGCGCCTGTTTCTTGTGTGGCATACGGGTGCTGCCATCGTGTGGTCACAGAGAGCACGGCCATAACATTCTGGACACATTCCACAAAAATATCTCCGGACTAGAAAGACCGAAATTTAGTAGAATAAAAAAATGTAAAGGCAATTCTCAAATTAAACAAACACACATTTTTGTTGTTGTTGTTAATCTTCACCCAAGGATATTTTTTCCATTGATTTTTAGAGAGAGCCTAAGGGAGGAAGGAAGGAAGGGAGAGGGAGAGAGAGAGAGAAATCGATGTGAAAGAGACACATCGATTGTTTGCCTCCCACACCCACCCCGACCAAGGCCAGGAATCGAACCTGCAACCCAGGTACATGCCCTTGACCAGAAATCAAATCCATAGCCCTTCGGTGCGCAGGCCAGTGCTCTAACCCCTGAGCCAGGGTACAAAGACATATTCAAGCAGTCCTCGGTTTCAGACACTGGCTTATATGGTGGCTGTTTAGAACTCAAGATACACTTTCTCTTTGAAAGAACCGGGATGTGGTGATGGGCTTCCATAGCTTGTGACCCCTACAAACAGCATATGACACTATTCCAACCACGCCTCATGCCCGTTTGTAACCAGTCTTCTACCAAAACGTGCATGGGCTTCCAGCTTAGGGTGGCATGTTGCATTGTTCCTACTAGTTCCTACCCTTCAAATTGAACAAATAGCTAGTAGACACTTTGTCAGTGGCGCAGATGCTGAAGTGACCCTTGGGCCATCAGCACCCTGGGCCCCCAGTGAGGCAGATTCCTAGACACTCCCCAACTCTACCTTTGCTAAGAAGAAGGAAGAGGGCTCCTGAGGTACTTACTGTCATTTATCAAACTTTTTTGAGCACCTCCTAAGTCCCTGGCCCTGTCTGAATGCTGGGAATAGAGAACCACGGAACATGATCCTTGCCCTTCAGGAAGTCCCAGGTCAGTGGGAGAAATATGTCCAAGCTAACAGTAGAGTGTGGTAAGTGCCCTGCAAGAGACGATGAGAGCATTATAGAGAGAAGGCTGTGTGCTGGGCTCTTTATTTTCTAAGCTTTTATATCGTACTTGTTACATGCCAGGTGCTATTTTAACTGCTTACAAACATTAACCCGTTAGTTGTCATAGGAGATAGATACTATTATTGTCCCATTTTTACAGATGAGAGGTTGAGTTGCAGACCTGGGATCTGAACCCAGATAGTCTGTAGTGATAAGCTGATGGGAGAATGTCAGTCACAACAACTCGGCCACATAGGGCCGCCGTGCCTGTCTGACAGGCCCCTGAGGCTCACTTGCTTCCCACTGTGATGTGCTGCGTCGTGATCTGCAGCAACAGACCAGGGGGTGGAGATGGCTTCCCGGAGGGGATGACTCTGGAGGTGCGTATGAAGTATGAGTTGGAGACATGTATTCCGGGTAGAAGGAAGAAAAAACGCCAAGACACTAAGCCATTAAGTACCCGATAGAGTTGGGAACTCTACGTGACTCACTGGGACTAGAGAAGACAGGGTGAGTAACAGGAGTGGTGCCAACCCCAACAGGAGTTAGAGAATTATCTGAAGTGTCAAGTAACGTCATCAGATTTGAAGATGGTTTGGTAGGAGCCAGATCATTAGGCAGACAAATTAGGAGGCTATCACAACAACCAAGGCAATGAATCTCAACTAAGGCACTCACCCTCGGGACAGAGAAGAAAAACTGCATTTGAGATATATTCCTTTGTACAGATGTGTGTGCTCAGCATTCATTAGCCCGGGACATCCCATCATCTACAGGGTAAAGCTCAAACCCTTTAGGATAGCAAACAAGGCCCTGCTCCATCGGACAGAGCTTCTCTGAGCAGGTGCTTCCCCGGGGGGCAGGTGGCCCCGTGCCCCAGCCTGCTCACCAGCCCCTCACAGGCTGCGTCCTGACTGCTCTGTGCCTGTGAAAAGACTGTTTCCTGTGTCTCTCAAATGCTCTCTTCTTTGTCCTCTTGGCAAACTGACTCGTCATTCAAAACCCATCGCAGGTGTCAACTCTTTGACTTAACCATTGACTGAGCATCTTTCAGTCGACATCCTCTTGGTATGAGATGCTTGCGTGATGCACAAGAAGAGCTGCGGTGGTCCCCCAACGTGGAAATTGGGTGGCTTCAACTGCAGGATCCCTCCTCCTGTTGACTTGCTCCATTTCACGTCCATGTCCTTCCAGTGCTTCTCAGACTTTAGGGTGTGTATGAAGCACCTGAGAATCTTGCTAAAAATGCAGGTCCAGATTCGGTGGTTCTGGGGTGGGGCCTGAAATGTTGTGTTTCTAACAGGATCCCAGGTGCTGCTGGTCCTGCTGGTCTGCAGACTGCATTTGAGTAGCAAGTCTAGTTCGTTTTCTCAGCATAGTTTGGTGAAAAAGCAATAAAGGCAATTATTTTTGTTTTTCTACACTGAACTCTTTATTAAGGTAAAATTAGTGTATAGTGAAATGCACAGAATTAAAATTAAATTCAATGAGTTTTGGCAAATGCACACCCCTGTGACCTACACTCCATTCAAGAACATTTGCGACATTTCCAGAAAGTCCCCTCGTTCCCCTTTCCATTTAAGTCTCCAAGTAAAGATGGTTCTATAGGGGCCCAATGTGGTTCAGTCCGAGGAAATAGCTTTTTGATTCAGGAGGCTTCATCGCAGGATAAATTTAAAGAGGAAAAGGGAAAACTGAACATCTTTCAGGCAATCCTACCTAAAGAATAGAAACTTCTGATCTAACTAACAATCATTGGAGCTATTATCTTAGAATAGTTTCTGTGATCCTTTTTTTTAATAAATAACTCCACGTGTTACTCCAAGGTGAATGACTATGTTGGCCCTGTGCTCAGGGAGATGGCTCACAGCTAGCAGGAGAACCAACAAGGCCCCTGGCGAAAGCCTCCAGAAAGAGTGAATTTTGGGATGTGGGGCATTCCTGGCCGGGCAGGAAGGCTGGAGAGGGTGGGAAGTACACGAGTCACTTGTAAATCTCCTATTTTACACATCTCACTCCCGCACGACACTTTGCAAAACTTCCCTTACAGTTCTCATCTTGTCACCACTGAATGACAGAGATACTCTGAGAAATGCATTGTTGGGCGATTCCGTGGTTGTGTGGACCTCAGAGTGCACTTACACAAACCCAGATGGCACAGCCTACTGCAAACTTAGGCTCTACGGGATAGCCTGTACTCCGAGCTTACGAGCCTGTTCGGTATGTTACTGTACAAGACAGCACAAGAGAAAGCGATGCAGTCGAGCGATGTGGTGAACACGAGGCGCGTGAGGCTGCTGCTGGGATAGCACAGCATCCGGTTTTACAGCAAACATTTTTTTATAAGTAGAAAGCGTCCACGCTAAAACAGGGGCGGGGAACCTTTTTCCTGCCAAGGGCCATTTGGATATTTATAACATCATTCATGGGCCATACAAAATTATCAACTTAAAAATCAGCCATGAAAAAAGCTCCTCGGTTTATTGAATTTCGAGTCCCATCTGCTGTTGCCTTGGCAGGGCCAGACCTATATGGCCTGAGGGCCAGGTGTTCCCCACCCCTGATAAAAAGTATAGTATAGTAAATACATAAATCAGTAGCATAGTACTTTATTATCATTATCAAGTATTATGCACTGTACATAATTGTATGTGCTCTATTTTTATACGACTGTGCAGTAGGTTTGTTTACACCAGCATCACAAACGCAGGAGTAACGTGCTGAATTGTGACATGATCGTGACGACCACGTCACTAGGTGATAGAAAATTTTCAGCTCCATTATAATCTTATAGGACCACGGTCCTACATGTGGTCCATTGTGGACCAAACTGTCATTAATGTGGCACATGACCATATTCCCCTTTTATAGCTATGAACACAGAGGCTTGGAGAGGTGGTCTTAGGGCCACACACACACTGCGAAGTTGCAGAGTGAGGCCTTCAGCTCCCTGGAGGTGCTCATGCATGTTGAGGTCAGCCAGGGGCAGGAATCCCAGGGCGGCTCTCCCAGGAGCCCTGACAACAGCCCTGCATGAGCACCAGGCCTGGCTGACAGGAATGGCCACCTGTGCCCTGGACAATCCCCGCCCTCCTGGAAGGTGAACCTCAGGCCCCAGCACTGTCCCCTCTGAGGATTGTCTTTCCTGAGTCCCCGCGTGAGGGTCTCCAGCTGCTACTGGCCCCACCGAACGGCTGTTCTAACTGCCCTTCTCCCTCCCCTGCGTTTCAGTACCTTGCCTGCCGCTCCTGCACCATGAAAATCCTGCTGTGTGACCTCCTGCTGCTCAGCCTCTTCTCCAGCGTGTCCAGCAGCTGTCAGAAGGACTGTCTGACCTGCAGGGAGAAGCTCCGCCCAGCTCTGGACAGCTTCAACCTCGAGGTAGGCTGTCTTCTCCTCCCTGGCTGCCCCGGAGCAGACCCAGCGTGAGAAACTGAGGCCTCGCGCAGAGGTCTGTGACCTGCCCTGTGCTGCGCGGTCAGCAGGGAACAGGAACGGGCTTGAGCATCTTCTGAAGGCAAACCCTGTCGCCTTTCCACTTTGCCACGTTCACATAAAGGCCTGCCCAGGCTGCCATTTCATTCCATCGTTAAAATAGCGCATACTCAGTCTAGAGAATTTGGCAAATCAGAGAAGTTTCCAAAAAGAGCACTGACATCGAATTTAATCCCACCGGTCAGAGAAAGAATCCTAGTGTTTTCACTTGCTATATTATACCAGGATAATTTTCCCGTGTTATTAACATTAAGCTATTTCTCTCTGTGAACACAGTATAATTTGTTTCAGAATCCTCCCTCCATTGAACATGTATGCTGCCCTCCATTGTTAATAATACAGATAATTCTACAAAGAAACACCTAAAATGCTCTCTTATATTTAAATTTTTTAATTTGAAGTGCACATCTGACATTAAATTTCCTTTTATTAAATAAGCTGCTTTCTCCATTGCTTTTGTTTTGATCTAATTAGTTATTCCCATCCTATCAAATCCAATATAATTCAATTATCTTTTTCTTTGTAGTTAAATGAACTCCTTTCAAAAGATGCCATGTTTCAAACTCCTCAACCTTTAAAAACAACCAAAAGTAACTACTGTTCCTTAAGACGAGTGTACAAATATAGAACCAAATATTCAAGCTGGGCTAAGGCACCAGTGATGAGCAGACACAGCCCAAAAGGCCCAGACGCCCAGCTCTTCCCACCCAGTGGTTTTCAAGCCTGTTTTCTGAGCGGTAGTAACTACTGCACCACAAGAAGCAGTCCCAGATAACCCACTCAACGTTTACCCGTCCCTCTCATTCATCCATCTGACTGGGACAGGGACCCAAAGGGGAGCAGATGGATGGACTTTGCAAGCAGTGGGAGAAAAGAATCCACAATCCCTCCACAAGAGAGTAATTACTAGGTGCTGGGGTAACAGAGCAGTGGACCCCAACCTAGTCTAGGGGGGCAAAGGGGGCTTTTGGAGGAACTGAAGAATCTAAGGGGACCTAAAGATGAGCGGGAGTGAAGAGGCAGGGAATGGGCCCCAGGTTGTAAAAGGAGGTGTGAGTGCAAAGGGAGGGGGCGTATGCAAATGCCAATAGGAGGGAGGGGAGTAGCATTTAAGGAACTGAGAAAAGCTAAATTTAGCTAGAGCACAGAAAGCCCTCATGTCTTCTCTGTGCAGCCCAGAGATGTTTAAAAGTTCATCCAAAACAACACTTTCCCTTGGTCTCAGTAAACAGAGTAGATGACTAGTTTGCTTGTAAACCAGTGAAGGAGTTGATAAGCAATAATCTCATAACTGCCACACTGTTGAGGCTCTCAGGTTGCAGCCTAGATCAGACTTAAGCTTATGCACAATTCCTGAGTCACTAGCTTTAACTGCAACCCTTTACCTTCCACTCAAGAAAGCATTAGGAAAAAAAAAAAAAGAAAGCATTAGGACCCAAGATATTTGTACACCCATGTCCATGACAGTATTATTCACAATATCTAAAATGTGGAAACAACCCAAGTGTCCATCAACAACGAATGAATCAACATAATGCATATGTACAATGGAATATTACTCAGCCTTAAAAAGGAAGGGCATTCTGGCATATATAACAACATGGATGAACCTTGAAGATATTATGCTAAGTGAAAAGAGCCAGACACAAAAGGACAAATACTGTAGGATTCTACTGATAGTGGTCAGTGGTCAAATTCATTGAGATGTAAAGTTGAATGGTGGGTGCAGGGGTTGGGGAATATGGAGAGAAGGGGTTTGATGGGTACAGAGTTCCAGGTTGGGAAAATAGAAAAGTCCTGGAGTTTGATGGTGGTGACAGTGACACAACATTGAGAGTGTACTTGCGAACCCTACGAAACTACACTTAAAAATGTTTAAAATGGCCCTAACCGGTTTGGCTCAGTGGTTAGAGCATCAGCGGGAGGACTGACGGGACCCCGGTTCGATTCCGGCCAAGGGCACGTACCTCAGTTGCAGGCTCCATCCCTACTGCAGGAGGCAACCAATCAATGTGTCTCTCTCACCTCGATCTCTCTCTCTCTCCCTTCCTCCCTTCCACTCTCTCTGAAAAGCAATAGAAAAAATATCCTTGGGTGTGGAATTAAAAAAAAAAAAAGGTTAAATAGTAAATTTAGTGTTACGTGTATTTTACAATAAAAGAAAGCATTAGGAACTTAACGATAAGGATAACCCTGAGTCTGCTCTAAGGTATTTTTTACAAGGAAAATCACTGACAGATTATGTGATCTCCTTATAACAAATGTCACACCTGCCGGTGAAATGCTAGTGTGCCTTCCCGCCCACTTGGGCACCGTGACCTTGGGTTGCCCCGTCGAAGAAGGCGGCGGCCAGCAAGTACAAATTCTCTCCAGTCCCCTCATGGCCGCCTCAGGACCTGCCTCCATCCTTCCACCTGCCTCCCATCTGCGCTCCGGCCCGTCTCTCCTCCTTCTGTGGTACCACTGATTTCCCTACTGGGTGTTCTCCTCCCCCCTCCCCCCCACCTGCTCTTTTCTTCTCTTTGTTGTCACTTTTCTGAACGATTACGACTTTGACCCCCTTGCCACTGAGTGGCTCTCAGTTTTTCTCTCAGGGTCACCAGCTCCTAAGCACCGAATCCCCAGGCCGAATAGCAGGCTCCCCTCTTGGTGAATTTACCTGGTGCTCTTCCCTGTTCTGACTCTTGTTTTCTGCCTCCTGTTGGGCTTCTGTTCCTCTCCCCACACCCTAAACATAGTGACCCCAGAGATCCCTTGCTTCTTACCTCCATGGACTCTCTGCCTCTGAGATGCCATCCCCATATCCAGGCCTTCAGCTCTCCCCAGGCCACAGGTAACACCCAAAGGGACACCCCTCATCTGGTCTCTACTGGGCTCCAGTCACGGTCCGCACTCCCTGGAAATCCCACTTTCCTTTCCTGGCCTTCCCACGACTCCAGGAACATGCCCTCCCATCTTGCACATGCCTCTCCCCGCTCTTTACTTGTACTTTAAAACCCTGATTAAGTTTCGCCTCTTATGAGAGCACTGTGCTGATTCTGCACCTGCCCCTAGTAGAGCCGGCCCCTCCCTCCTTTGTGCTCTGATAGTTACTTGTATCTGCTAGTCTCTCTCTCACCATCAGGTATGAGCTTCCTTTGCTGATGGTCTCGGCATCCCACACGTGGCCCAGTGCGTGACACAGAGTTACTTCTTTGAAATAAGTTCAAAAATGGCCAGTTATAGCCTTACAGTGAGGGATAAACCCTTTGCAGTGCCTGCTGACCCCCAGAGGAACTGGAGGCCTGGCTGTTTGGTTTCTAGTTTATATTTACTTTTAACCTATTTTTTATTTTATTTTATGAAATGTCTAGAATGTAGGCAACCACATCTCATTTTCAAATCTTGCAACTCTTGGGTATGTCCTCTCTGTGAATAATGGGGGGGGGG